AATTTTCTCGCGAGGACAAGAAACCAGTTCGACGAAAATAAAAGAAGAGGAAAATGGCCACCGACTAGAGGGAAGAAAAATAGGCTAGAAGGCGGCGGTAATTCATCGAAAGCGATTGGTCGGGTAGAAATTCCGACGAAGAACGGTTTGCATGGTTAATAAATATGTAACGACTAGAATTTCACGTGGCCCGTTAGCGTACCGGCGACGGGAGTGCGAGGTTAAGGTGTCGAAAAAACGAAGGAGAAATTCAATGGTAACGGCGCGTGTCCGCTTGGAAACTCGCGAAGAAACGGGCTAATACAGATGTCGATAATTATTCACAACAATCCGCCCGGCTGTGCGCAGAAAGCGGCAGAAATCCGTTTCCATTTGCTCGCGCATCGTGGTTCGATTTTAATTAATTGCATCCGCGTCTGTGGAGATAGCGAACCGAAATCAATGGAGATTCGTTAGAATTAGATAGAAGAAAACTATAGCCAACACGTGAAAGAACAAAAGATAAAAGTTGAGAGTATTGCACGTCCTAAATTTCATCATAAAATCCAAAGTACACAGTTCTCGTCCAACTTTCCTCGTAATTAAACAGCCGATTAATTTCTTGGAAGTTTGTCGCAACAGCTGAATACGCTGGAGCGAGATTCAGTTTCCGGTTGATCGATGGAATAATCAGAGAGCGAGCAAACCAGGCGAGAAAAGGGAAAAGAAAATAGAAGAAAAGGAAAGACGGGGGAAAAGCCGGATCGTCGTTTCTTCCGAACTGCGGAAGAAAACGTGCGAGTTACACCGCAGGCAGAAGTAGCAGCTGTAGGCACCGTGACAAGCTAGAGGAGACGCGTCACAGGCTGACTGGCATTTAACCGGACGGTCGACCTACTTACCCACTAAACTCTAAGCAAGCAAGTTTTAGACGGTGCCGTCTTCCCGCAGCCACCGTCCTCTTCATCTTCGTCGATATCATTAGAATTCCCTCCTCTTTCGCATAAACCCACTAGCCACCTTTCTCTCTTTCTCGTGCTACATATTTCTTTACGACCACCGCGAGCTTCCATTCTTTTGTATTTTACACAGCATCGCGTGATCCCCTGAACTTTCTCTGTAACTAGTACCGTTCCCCCGCCCTGGCTGCAGCAACAGATTGATTCTCTCTACGCATACCGCCACGAGACGTCTTGTCGGTGTCTGCTGAACATTTGGGCGAATCTTCTACATTAATTGCCACTCGAAGAAAGAATGGGGTGAGTGAAAGTCTTAAAATACGGTCTTAGGTGGCACCTGTTTCACAGCGCTTCCTCCAAATAGCTGACAATGAGAAGCCTCAAAGTTCGAAATACCTTTCGAACGGTAAAAATTTGAAATCGTTCGAATTCACAAAATTTTGAATCTTCCACGAACTTTCAAAGTTTTCTCCTCTAGTCGTTAATTATCCCAGCTCACTCTCTCTTTCGTTCTCTTCCTATTCTCTCGGACCGACGAGCAATAATGCCTTGAAATATGAAAGGACCAGCCCGGAGGCGGATATAGCTGCGAAAGGGCAAAGGACGATGCAACGGCATTGGGCAACCTTCCACGAGCAGCAATGTGTGACCATTACTCCAGATTTCGTCGCTCGAAATTGCGATTTCGTTACGCAAAGGCCCATCGGCACGGTGTTGGCCTTAGAATGTTCAATTGTGGCGCGACTGGCTTTCTGGTCTAGTTATGCGCCTGACTCGCCGTGTCTAACGAGATTCAGGATTGCGCTTTCATACACGATGCATTATTTCACAGCGATCCAAACGATAAACCTGACCACTTGATTCGATCGGAAAAAGAGAGACCAGCTGACGTTACCTTCGATCCAATTGACGCTTTTTGTCTTTCGATGGAAAATCATACTGTGGACTCGGGAGAAAGGTGATACGCTCCGAAGGAATTCCTTGCCACCTGATGCCGCGGTTGGTACGCTTAATGTACAAAGGCCGGTGTATGAATCGGTGAAAATTAATTACACGGTAGATTTTGGAGACGTTTTAAGTTACGACGTACCGCGAATGTGGGACGCGTTTAATTCATGTCCCACGAAATTAAGCGACTTCGATAGAAAAGATAGAGGAAATATAGGACAGAAAGCAGCTAAGCGAACATTTGCTAAGTTAACGGACGTAGGAGTATGCCAAATTTTACGGAAATATTTTTCTTATCTCGATCTACTTGCGCCCGTGCGTGAATCTCGGACAGCGAAAGTTGAAAGATGACGTTCAGGCAGATTTAATTATTCCTTCTATGGCGTGAAATATTTCGGGATTCTTCGTGGAAACACTTAGTCACCATTTACACAATCGCAATTTTTCTTTCATTCCCTGAATTTAGTTCTACTTTTTAAGTACTGAAGTTTCTTTCTTATCTTTTCAAGGTTTCTTTTCAATTTATGCTTCATGCTCGAATTATTCTGGAATTGAACAATTTTCGTTCCTTTACTTTTCTTTTACTGTTTTTATCTGTCTGATGAGTCGTGTCAATTTGGAATTGAGCAGTACTTCTAATTTTCTTTTTTAATCATACATAATACTGACTTTGAGGTAGGAAAGTAATTAAAATCACGCGATACTTTCTGTGCGAACGTAATAGGTGTCCCTACACACGAACAGCAGTTCGCGCCTTCACCGAGGCGATGAAAACGTTTGGAAAATTTGACGTCGCGAAAAATATGTGCAAATAACACATTCGTAGGCCGAGGAAACCTTCTGGAGTCAAGCATACTTATCGAATATTCATAAACGTGGACAAATAACCAGGTCGTTTTTAATTGGACATAAAATAAGTCTACATTATGCGACCGAGTAAATGTCAGAACGCACTGTGCGCTTTGTTTCGCCTGATTAAAACCGTATCGAGCACTGCTACGCCGAATCGATCAAGGTACATACGAAATTCACGAAAAAAGAAGAAGTACGAAGTCAATGCAGTCATGTTTTTCACGAACAGTGAAACGGGTCAAAAACCAGTTACCGATAATGTTACGTCCACTTAAAATCGAACGTTTATTCGTACACCTAGAAAATTGCAAGGCTCGTATAACTCGTATTGTGAAACGCAACGCGTTTAGGGAAATGGATAAATGAGGTGTGTGTGATTTTCCAGCGACTGAACAGCGTGTGAATGGTATCGAAGCATTGAACAAGGTACAGAGAGGTAGTTTAATCCAGTTAGTTGGAATTTTATATAGCGGTAAAGTGGGACCATTCGAACTAGTAGAGAAAGTGTGATGTCTTTTTTGATATATATTCCTTGCGCCATTGAAACGCTAATGTTCCCGAAGGTTCATGAAACTGGAAATTATCTATGTAAACCTCTACGCATTAGAAACTACAGATAAAGAAGAAACGTGGCAAGAAGTCGCGCGTGATGTTCTCGAATCGTCTTGCTTCGCCGGAAACCAATCGCACGAATATGAAGAAACGAAGTGGGATACCGAGTCTCTCCGATAGAAAATAGAAACAACGATCTAATCTTTGCGAGACTAGGGGAGAAAATCGACCGCCAGTTTGCGTGAGATGGTCATCGATCATTCACGGAACAGAAACAATTGAAAATCGATCGAAATTTTGTGACTCTCGGAGAGAAAATCAATGGAAATTTTGTGACTCCCGGGGAAAAAATCGATCGAAATTTTGTGACACCGAGGGAGAAAATGAATCGAAATTTTATGGCACCGAGGGAGAAAATCGATCGCCAGTTCGCGTGAAATGATCACCGACGATTCATGAAATAGTAAAAATTGAAGTACCGAATCTCTCCGTCAGAAAATCGAAAAACGATCGAAATTTTGCAACACCAAGGGAGAAGATCGAGCGAATTCACGTGGGGACGCTCATCGACGATTTAGGTGAACATAGACGAGCTACTGCTAGTCGTCGAACCGTGTCCTGTTGCAGCTACAACTGCAATTGCGACACGTGACCGAGTTGTATCCTCTGACAACTGGTTGATTTATCACGAGGATCGAGGGAATAGACGCAATACTAACAAGCAGAGGGTTGTCCTCGCTATCGACTCGAATCAACGGAAAGCTAATCCTCTCTGGATGACGTGTTCCACGAACTCTCTGACCCGCCACGTCCTCTTGCTCGCGATATTTCTCGATCGTCGATCAACTTCGTTTCCCGTGCACGTGCCTAGAACGAAGGAGTGTCTCGAGGATTCTCTGCGACTCGAATTTGACTAGAATAAAATGATTGTAAATTACGGAAGACCGCGTCGAGAAGAATATTCTCGACCTCTGCATTGTGCCGAGAAACTCTATTTCTCAATATCCTTGAATCGTACAGGATCCAGCGGAATAGTCTTCCGGTTTTAAAAGGCAAATGATAAAGGCACGATATATGTAGATACTACTTCGTTAAGAACAATATTTACCGCTTAGTTTACTCGACTAAACACCGTTTTATCACCTCGTCGAGGTGCCAGTGGCAGATAGAAGTGGCGCGGGTGGGTATAAATGATGTGTTTGAGTAACAGCAGTCGTTAACGTCTCAGTCGTTATCATCACGTGCAATGCGGAATATCGTTCGTTCGTTATTGGCAATGCTTGGTTGAAGATGGTTCAAAATGGTAAACGTTGCTCTTTTCGATCGTACAATAAAAGTTTCGATAGCACCTACGATGCCTTCTTCGTTTACCTTTCGAAACAGGGAGATAGGTACATAATTCAATTTGAGAAAAAGATATCTGGCATATTTATGGACGTAATATTCTTTCTGTTCTGCATACGTCAAAACCTGACTTCCCCAGAAAAAAAAACCCTGTTGAACTCGAGTATCCCAACGACGGAAGTGTCTTAAGCATTTCGAAGTTAACGATCGTCGTAAATTTTCTATCACGGTCCTTCATGATTATGTAACAATCCGTAAAGACTGGTTGCCCTTGACCTGTCGACATATTTTTGAAAAATTCGCGAATACATCGGCGGAATACCGTTAAGCGAGGAAATTTCTGAATAAAAATCGTGTTGTCCGCAGAAATGGCGTCGGCGGCGGCAGAATTGGTGGCAGAGAGGGAGCCAGAACCGAGGATCGAGATGACGGACACGAATCGGACGTTCGTGGGCGCTCAAGGTTTGGTCCGAATGGCCCTGGAGCAGTACACGGAAATCCTCACGACTATCTCGGACCCTCGTGTCAGCGACTGGCCGCTCATGGACTCCCCCATACCCACGTTTCTGATCGTGCTGCTCTATTTGTACGGAGTGACGATATTCGGTCCACGGGTGATGACCAACAGGAAACCGTTCAAGCTGAGGGAGGCCTTGGTCGCGTACAACGCGTTTCAAGTTGTCTTCTCGCTGGTAATGCTCTACGAGGTAAGGAGAATCTCTGCTTCGATCTCGCGAGAAACAACTGAACGGCAAGAAGGATAAATCGCCGCTTTTTGTCCCGTAGAAAAGTAGAACTCAGTTAGATCTTCTTCTAAAGATCTTCTCTTAAAGTGGACAATCGCCACTTTAACGCAATTACCAGATTTTCAGCGATGTTTCAGCCAGAGAAACGGTTAATAGCCTCTTCGAGGAGAGGAGCCTTGCCTCAAGGTTTCGAGAACGTTTCGAAACGGCGGTGAGACGACGAGCTTTCTCTAAATACAGAGAACGATTGAGAGGATTCGTAGTTGTACGAGACGAGAGGAACGTGAGAGAGGTCGATGCATCGGTTGGATCCAAAGTTCACGGCTGCAGGTCCTCGTAATCTCGCCTCTCTCCGTAGAACTTGGCGAACAGGAGTGGGTCGCGAGACGAAAATGTCAGCGACTAGTGGAGAAAAACACCGGTGGTTTCGCGAGTCTCGAATTAACGAAAAATACGAGGTCACGTGTTCCAAGTGTAACAGTGAAAGCACATGGACCTGTTCAAGTGTCTGCGACCTAGAGCGTTTCCAATACAGATCGCGAGCAATCGAGAGTAGCTTTCAATTGAACGTGCCGCGAGTCTTTCTCCCCGTGTCCACTGAACCCTGATAAATTCAGTAGGCGTTGCTAGAGACATTAACGTCGGAGGTTCGATAACTGAGTAACACCGCGATAACAGATTCCTTTGTTGACTCTTTCGGTCAAGATTCCAAGCTTAACTCAATCCTGTTCACCTAATTCTCTCTCTCGTCGGAATGAAAATGAACTAGACAGGCAGGTTGTCGATTGCTCGTAACAAAATCAACCGCTTCGTTTCTTTCGATTCTGTTTAACGAACCCGACCGCCCAGGGCTAGTTAAAAAGATCTCGAAAATGTTCACAACCGCGAGATATTAATTTCCATCGATTTCCACACACGATGCATAAATTAACAGACCAACGAATCCAGTGTGAACGACCTAAAGTCTTCGTTTTATTCTCCTCCTGAAAGACCTTCGAAGGACGCGGCAGACCGTCCGTTCGATCACCTTGAACCGTTCGTTTCTGTAAGCTTTGTCCAGTTCGCGCGGCTAGATTCCTTGCGAAACGCAACATTCCGAATGATGTAACAGCTTTGTCCTGATCCACAAACGAGCTGATGTTTCTCGGCCACTCTCCAATAGCATAACGTTCTAGCGTAAGCAGAATTCATTGTAAATCGTTTTCGCGTTCATGCTAAACGAGCTGCCTAACGAGCATAGTTAATCGACCGTCTCGAAACGCGTACCAGCCTATCGCAATCTGTCGGTAATTGAGAATTCCTCGCACCAAAGTGTTCGTTATTAACCAACCATTTGCATACGATCTCGATTAACGGAAAGAAACACCGCGTTAACGTTCACACCGCCGATCTATTTTCGTTTTGTCAAGCAGATAACCGGCGCTTACGCGTAAGCGTAAGGTTACGGAATTCGATCGATCCTCGATCTAAGATCGAATTCGAAACGGTGGTCTTTTCGAAAGGACAAGTCGCGTTGCGATACTAAGTCTTCAAGCTGCAACTCTGTAGTTTCCATTTCGATTGCTCGAAAAAGGAACGACTCGAAATATTGCCACCAGGATTTTGAAAGGGGATAATACAGTTCAGCGCTGCTCGATCCTGGTCACAAATCACGACGGCGACTGGCAGAGGGTGAGAAAGTGACCGGTAGTGAAACATCAGGTTGCAAGAAAGAAAAATGAAGTCACGTGTGTGCGTAGACCTGATTCGCGAACCTTCGAGACGGTTGCCCAATTGATTTGTACACTCGAGCTCGCGGTTCGTTAAAGGCGAAGCATCCTGTTTTCGACTTTCCACGAACCGTTCGTTCGCAATTCGTGCATCTAGAGAGCTGCGTAAATTTATTTTACGGCTCGGTTCGCATATTTTCCAACTCCTAGGAAAATGCACGTCGCGATAATTGCTAGAACTGCAAACATTTCCCCGTATTCAAAGTTAGAGGATCATCTTAGAAAGTTGATCTACGCGTAAGACGGATGATTTTCTCGGCGCGAAACGGGCAGGCGACAAAAAGTCGAGAGATACAGCGTATCAGGAAATTCGAACATCGCAATTGCTTCACTCTAACGACTTAAACTTACGATTCAACGCACCACGACCTCTTTTTCGCGTGGCTCGTTTGCAAGAAGAGGCCGAATACCCTTCGAATTGCCTTTTTTCCATTTCGCCAGCAAAAAGAAATATCCCGGCGATTTCGAAAGAACAAAAGAACCTGGACTTTCCGTGTCTGTACAATATACTCGAGGAAATTTCGAAACATTGTCCACCACGAAAAAACAACACGTCCTCGATTTTAACGACAATGTATACGCATATACGATTGTTATTAGAGTAACACTGGAAGCTATCGCGAGGAAACAGGAACAGAGTCATAAAGAGTGAAAAAAGCTAGTATTTACAGGTACTTAACGAAATAACAATCGTCCGTTTACCGTTCGTGTAGAAAATACCGAGTTAATTACAACCACTACTGATGTAACACCTTTAACTTTTTATCACTCTCTTCCCCCACTTCGTACTAATTGATAGCCAGTTAAACTCACTCTCAAAATCATTGACGTCGCTAAATTTCTAAGGCCGAGAAAGAAGGGATATCCCAAACAACTTTTGCATCGAACCCTCGAATTTGTCTGCTCGTTAAAATTCCAAAATTTTTATCAAATGCTAATGAAACTACTAAACGTGTTGGCAAAAGGAAACTATACTATGCATATAAAGAACAAAAGAACCTGGACTTTCCGTGTCTGTACAATATACTCGAGGAAATTTCGAAACATTTTCCACCACGAAAAAACAACACGTCCTCGATTTTAACGACAGTGTATACGCATATACGATTGTTATTAGAGTAACACTGGAAGCTATCGCGAGGAAACAGGAACAGAATCATAAAGAGTGAAAAAAGCTAGTATTTACAGGTACTTAACGAAATAACAATCGTCCGTTTACCGTTCGTGTAGAAAATACCAAGTTAATTACAACCACTACTGATGTAACACCTTTAACTTTTTATCACTCTCTTCCCCCACTTCGTACTAATTGATAACCAGTTAAACTCACACTCAAAATCATTCACGTCGCTAAATTTCTAAGGCCGAGAAAGAAGGGATATCCCAAACAACTTTTGCATCGAACCCTCGAATTTGTCTGCTCGTTAAAATTCCAGAATCTTTATCAAATGCTAATGAAACTACTAAACGTGTTGGCAAAAAAAAAACTATACTATGTTACATATGTAATTTATAACTAGTGAAACCGACATTTAAAAGCTTCGACGTCACCGAGGTTCTAAAACCGAAGAAGGACGAATTAGAAACAACTTCTGCATCGAACTCTCAAATTTTTCGGGCCATTAAAGTTCCGATACGTTTGTCGAATGCTAATGAAACTATTAACCGCGTTCGCGTAAAAGTTCCTATTCATATACCAACTTAGATAACAATCGACAGGAAGAAGAAGAAGTAATCTACCTTGACCGTGATCTTGTGTTTCGCAGCACCTGATGTCCGGCTGGCTGTTGGATTACAGCTACAAGTGTCAACCGGTAGACTACTCCCACAATCCGTCCGCTCTACGAATGGCGAACCTATGCTGGTGGTACTTCATCAGCAAGTTCACGGAATTCGCTGACACGGTACGTACATCAGACTCTACTTTTCAAAGGAGATACGAAACCATCGGTAGGAAAGAAGATTCGCGTGGAAGAGAATCTGCTCGCTGAAATAGAAACACGCGCCACAGAGTTTCGCGTTTGGAATAGTATTTTCAGATGGTTGATCTGTGTAATTGCACGGTGACCGCCAACCGATCGCGATAATGATCGTTTAAAGAAGCCATGTCACGAAGGAAACTACCAACAGCGGGCTCGCGATAGAGTTGCAGCTCGTTATAACTCCTCTTGCGGAATAGAGACCTTAGGCGAGTGCACGCGAGTGGGTTTCCCCCATGGATTGCACGAATAGATAAGGCTCGATCGAATCGAAATGATTTACAGGTAGAACTCTGTCCCCTGTTCGGTCAATACCAGGCAATGCCTGTTGCGTAACGAAAAGTTTGAGATTTGTCTTGGAGAAAAACGAGTGGAATTTGATTACGAAGTATATATAGCGAATTGTTGTACAGGTTTCTTGTTAGTCTAGATTATACGAAACTTTGTTACAGATGGAAAATAATTGGTTTATCTGACGTGTTTTCAGATATTCTTCGTTCTACGCAAGAAAGACAGTCAAGTGACATTCTTACACCTGTACCATCATTCTCTGACACCGCTAGAGACGTGGATCTGCGTGAAATTTATCGCTGGCGGACACGGGACCCTGGGAAACCTCATAAACAACGCGGTACACGTGATAATGTACGTGTACTACATGGTTTCAGCGATGGGGCCGGAATATCAGAAGTATTTATGGTGGAAGAAACATCTCACCACTGTGCAATTGGTAGGTAGAAGAATCAGAGAATACTCATCGAAAGTGTTTATCCATTCGTCGTTTATCGCCCGACATTACGAAACCACTTATCGCAATCGTCCTCGTGTCAATTTTGTGAAAGTTTCTACATCAGTTTTTTGGTTACAGTAGATGACCAGAGGGTTTTCCGTCGATTGCCACCGTCTGCGATAACACTTTATAACTATTTCTTTCCTAGCTGTACTAGGAAGACGTGGAGTAAAACGATGGTCGTCCATTAAAGATTCGATTCATGCGCATAATCGTGTCGCATGAATTTCCCCGCGACAGATGTCGTGCACCGGAACAATGCGCATTATTCAAGAGAAAATAGATTCCCTTCCAACTCATAAATAGCCATGCTCGATCGAAACCGAGGAGGCATTCATGAACTTGAAAGGGCGAACAAGTGGAACATCCTTGACACGATCCGCATACGTTACAGGGAAAACGTGCAGTAACGAGACATTTCGAGAGGTAATACCGATAATTGAGAGGCAAAAGAAACTAGATCGCGTGCTGCAAGCTTCTGGAAGAAATACACCGATACGCGTGTGTTAAAACGAACGAGGAAAATACAGAACGCGTGCACAGATAACACCGTGCGGTAACAGGGTCCCATTACGCTTGAAACGAATAGCTTTCGGTCTCTAAACAGCTCTCATACAATCGGCAACACTTTATTCTCCGTGTTGGCTAGAATGCCCCTGGCGCTTGACAACCCGCCGCCAAGCGTCCCGCCTTAACTCCACGTTTACAGACCAAACACGTGAGACAGAACGAAATTGAATTCGTTGTCGATGACCAGTAAGGATAAAAAGAAGGTGAAAGGGGCGTTGTCGAGAAATGACAGAGGGTTAATTGCGGAAAGGAAATCATTGAAATACAAATGTAACCGAATTCGAAGGAGATATTAAATTATTAATCGATGTCCAATAAGGGTAAAAAGAAGGTAAAAAGGGTGGAAAAAAAATCTTTGAAATATCAGGTCATCCCTTAAGTTTGTGTCGAATTTTGAAATTGAGATCGATATTTCCAGCGGATCCTTAAATTTGATAAAAAAGAAAGTAAGCGCTTTCTCATTTCACAACTTTTTCCTATTTTTTTGGTAAGATCATTATATCGTCGCTACAGAATTTCTTCGGATTTTTATTGAAATATTTTTCGCTTTCGGCATAAACTTACGCGATAGCTTGATACCAATGCAACCAAATACAAACGAGACTGGGACAAAGGAAAAGGATGGAAAAAGATAGAAAAAGGCGTTTCCGAGAGATGACAGATAGCTAATTACCGAAAGGAAATGTGCGTACACGTGATCGAGGCGAGATTCGCGATACCTTCTTCTTGCACAACGCGCATTGCAACCCGGTTGGATAATGATCCGCATAGATGAAAGTGAGCGGAGCCGCGACACGTTGAGCCGTGAACGCGCACTCACGGGGTGCATCTAAGTGCAAATGCACGCAAGATAAACGTTCCACGAATTCGCCGCGCAGTTTTTGACCGGATAAGCCCCGAGCGATCGCGACATTACTGCAATCGGCGCAGCCGTCTAGTAAGAGAAGGAAACACGCCGACCAACGTTCTATAGACGCCATAACAGCGACACGAGCTGCGTTATTGTGTGCAAATCGGTCGCTAGACTGGTACAGCACTCGAACAGTACCGAATGTGCAACAGAAACGAAGAAGAATCGTTCGTGAAAGCCTCGCAAAAGCTTTTCACCTTAAAAACCATTCAAGAAACTTCGACGTTCCCAGATAGAACTCGCTCCACCGAGCCTTTTAATCTCACCGACGATTTGAACGACTAATTCCAACGAGATCTTGCAAGAGAGATCGTTAAATAGCCATTACAGACGTTGGTAATAATCCTCGTTAAACCGTGAACGGCGCCTGTCGACTGAACAAGCCTCTTCTCGATGATAAACCGCGTCGATTCTTCCTGTCTAATTAGGAAAACACGAGATCCCATCGACGAGACGACGCGAAAGAAAAAAGACGCGTAGGAAACAGGTGTATCTGGAGTGAGATCGATTTGGCTCGAGAGGTTGATAACGTCTGCCACGGATTCTGGGACATCGTTGGCCACCCGTGCAACCAACTGAACAAAATTTCAGGCAAAACCGCGTGGTAGGGGTGAGGGAAAGTGAAAAGTACAACGTTGGGCAATTCCAGGCTGACTTGCTTTGGCCGGACTCGACCGACTACGTCGCGGTGGCGCAACATTTTGGCATTCCGATATGCCATACAGAACCGTGTGTACCACCACTATCACCACAGCCACCATCACCATCGCTATCGGTTCACATTGCTACCACGAATCGGCTGCATGCCTACGAAGCCTCACCTATATGCCTACCTACCTACCTTTTATCTCGTAAGACCATTGATTTCCCTTGCACCGGCGCAAATCGTTGAAAGGACAGTTCTCGAGAAGCGCGGTCCTTTCCCGGACAACGCGGCGAGCAGAGCCGAGCCGCTTCTCTCCTCCCTCGTTCACTATTCGCGGTGATGTTTTACGAGCCTGCTCGAGGATGTTCCGCAACCGGAGGAACGCGTTTCGAAAAGCGTTTAGCGGTTACCTCTTTCACCGGCCAATCTTTTAACATGCAAATTGGAAAATTGTTCAGTCGCCTTTTAACCTATTCACTGGGCTCGTTGGTTACGCAGAATTTCAATTTGTTTCCTGTGCAAGTATAAGGCAGAAGGGTTTTCCACGCGTTTCGTTCTTTCGTATCTCGTGCATGATCGTTGACCTGGATGAGACGCGTTAACCCCTTTTGCGAATTTCTTATTTACCTATCGTCGCCTCTGGAATGAATACTAAAGTGAAGTTCATTTCGAAGCGGGATGTGTGCGTCACGTTTGAAGCGAAAGGGTTAATACGCGAATGTCAATGTCGGCGACACCGAGAGTCCAATGGAGAATCTACGAAATCTTCCTTAACAAGGAATCCCGCAATATTCACCGAACACTCCAAGTAGCTAATTCTTTTCTCAATGGAAACGCTGGTATTAGTATCTAATGATGTCCCGATGCGGTGATTTCATGTTTAAATTGAAACTACTTTGTCGGGTAAACGCTATAAAATTGGTAGTCTAACGGTCGAGCAACGAGGTTTCACTTTCCCTGGATTAATCGATCGCAAGTGGTGGTTGCGCCAGATTGTTTGACAGGATTTTCTTCGATCGCACAGTTGCACCGTGTATGCAAAGAGTTGGCCGTTATCCTTGCGTCATTACCGGGATCGTAAATAAGGCAGCACATTAATTCGTCGGTGGCGGGCAGCTCGCGTATCGTCGTGGCATAATTCGGCTTGCGACACTTTGCACTTTTCCCGCGAGGAGAAAGGCAACACGGTGTTTCTTACCTATTGCCACTTCAGCTACGCCAAATTTCAAGTCGGCCAATATTGAAAGTTGAAACAAGTCGGGGAGAAACGTATTTTTTTACAAATTCTCGCTTCAAAAGTTACGCTAATTCCTCACCGTTTACTCGGGTAATAACGGATAGCTACTTTCTTGCACAACTACCCTAGACACGTTAACGATTTCCATCGTAGCGCGATGCCCTGTTTTGCCTGAATTTATTACTTAGCATAATATTACTTAAATCGGAGCAATTAAGGATCGACGTTACGTGGAAAAGAAACTTCATTAAAACTGACGGAACGTAACTTGCGGACGACGATACAGAGAGTGACTCCAGGATGGAAAAATAGGGGTGTTTAAGGGTTCGAGGAAGATGAACTTTGGGTAATAACTGTGTAGGAGAGTTGAAGAGTCCGGTGTAACGATGAAAGTTGGTGACTACTTGTGGATACAGATAGGACTAAAACTAAAAAAGAAAATATTTCAGGGTATAACAGTAGGTTCGCCAAATGGTAAAACTGAAAGAATATTAAAAAATTCGACTCACCGTCACCGCAAATCCAACTCCGTACAAAGACTCAACTCATTCTCCTTTGTTTTACAGGTGCAATTCTTTCTGGTGTTCGTGCACAGTACCCAAGCCCTGGTGTTCGACTGTGGATATCCGAAACTGGTAGCAGCGCTTCTTCTCCTCCACTCGACGATCTTCTTCGTCCTCTTCTCCGACTTCTACCGACGAGCGTACAACAGGGGTAGAACGAAGAGGCAGTTGAAGGACGAATAAACGAAGAACTTTTACACGCGCGCTGTCCCAAATTTCCGTTCGAAACACTCTGACTCGTTTGCCTCTCGTTCGTGCAAGCAACGATCGATGATCATGAATCGATTGGAATTTTATGGAGCTGCGATGTCGTATTTGTATAAGAATTCTTGCAATGTTGTTTTACGAGGAACGAGTAGAATTAGGCGTCGATTCGCGTACTCGATCGTCTGCAGGATCGATGAGGTGGTACGGTTAGGGTAGAGCTTACAGATTCCTTCCGTACGGAAGAGGTTTCTCACTCGCTATCCCTCATATCCTGTGCAGGGCATCTCAGGTCTCGCGAACAGCTCGGACCAGGGCTTCCGAAGCACTAATTTCTTTTCGTTTATCCTCGGGAACCTTTAGAAAGCAATCGAGTGGGTTTGCGTTCACGCGAGAAAGTGCATCGAAAACCCCTGAATCGATGTAACCCTTCGTACATCGATCGGTCCTTGGTGTCGTTAATTTAGTGCTCTTTTTTTTTTTTACTCTCGGTGTTACGCGTCACCAGATCTGTAATTAAGGTTATTGTAAATATAGGAATAGCGTTAGAACACACCGCGGGACGCACGTCGTTCCTGTGGTTTTATTTAAAAGTGTTGCGCGTCTCGAGCCAACTACGCGCGCGATGGAAATATACGCGTGCAACGTGAAGCGAAAGAAAAGAAGAAAATTCGTCTCTTTGTGGAGTATAAAAGCGTGTTGATTTGTGTAACGAACGAGGCTCGCCTCGCGAACGTCCCAAGCTCAATATTTTATTTACCTCTATTTATACGTTTCTTAATTGTCATCTACTTTCGAGTGTCTAAGAGAGTTTAACCCTTAAACGATAAGTCCTGTTGTAAATAACGTCCACGCTGTTGCGCCCTGATACGCGTGAACGAAGAAAAATTTACGTAATTTACGTAAGTTCGTGCCGGAAGCGAAGAAGATTTCAATGAAAATCCAAAGAAATTCTATAGCGATGACACAATGGTCTAACTGAAAAGTTATCGAGTGAGAAGACGCTTGCGTTTTTTGTTTTTATCAAATTTAAAGATTCGTTGAAAATATTCATCTAAATTGTAAAATTCGATGCGAACTTATGCGACGACTTAATACATCGGTGAACTCGAAACGACGTTAATCTTCGGCTCGATACCTATCCCAGATGCAGACAATACACACACAGACACACACGTTTACGTACACACCATATATACTTATGAAAATGAAATTAGAAAAGCATAACATTCCTTACGAAATCTGGCTATTACGTGAACTGTTGCGACGGACTTTCGCGCCGATTATCGCAAGGACTCGTCTCTCCCGACAAGCGGTAGTACCGCAGTGCGGTAAAAATTAAGAGAATCGCGTTAACGAACGTCAACGATCGTTTCACCGAACAACGACAACGATACTAGACTTGTAATTCGAATCGTGACTGTATCGACGAACATCTTTGTACAAATGTAATACGATCGTTCGTTGAGAATTATAGTAAAAGGAGAGAGAACGTCGTACCATTCACGGATTCAGGGTTAAATCACTCACTCGACTATTTTCTCTTTCTTTTTTTGTTTTGGTTTACGAGAAGAAAGTGAAACGACGAAACGGGACATTAACGACAAGGGGCAGTCTCTCCCTCGTGAACATATGCGAAGCTGTGCCCGGAAGCCAGCAGAGTACAGGCAAACTTTCTACCTTATCGATCCTCTCGAGACAACCCCTTCTCTTTCGTGAACGGTGGTGCAGAGATGCTCATTCCGTGGATACGGGTAGAGAGGAGAAATAACTGCCCTCCTAGAAATACGATCGTTCTTCTTAGGGATTTATCGTTGAGCCTCTCGTCCTAAGATTGTAATTTATTTAGCGTGTGTCCGGCATACGATAAAATCCTCTTGTAAATATGTAACTCCTTTTTTTTCTTTTGTAACGTGACAAATAAATATTAAGTTACTCGCAACGTATTGGGTGTGTTGTATAATGAAGCATAATTGAAATATACAGCAAGGGAGCAGCCGGGAGATACTCTTGAATAACCAAAGATTGAACTGAATATAGAGGAACATGATATTAGAATGACAAAAACTTATTCAGACATGGAATTAAAAATTAGATATTATTTATGCAATTTAGTTGAAAATATTATCTACCTATCTTACATATAATAGTATAACAAAGTATATTAATAATAGTAATAGCAACAGCGATAATAATATTTACAACTTTAACTAATGTATACCTTAAATTCTTTATTACAATCACTCTTTTACAATAGCATGTAATCAACTTCTCATATATTAATTCTAGAAGTGTACAACTTTCAGCAGTTATGGAACCTAAGCTGCTGCTTGTGCAGCCTTCTGTTTCCTGAGTTCTCTGTTAAGAAGTCTACGTTCTCTTTCGTATTCTTTCATTCTTAAAGTAAGGCTGTAACATATATACATTGGAAAGTGTTTAAAGCAAAAATTAAGTTTTAATAATTTCAAAATGTTTTCAAATAAAACTTACTCGTCGTATTGACACTTGTCATAATTGTGTAATTCTTTTGTACATCGCTGTGGAACAGGCCATTCTTTTCTCTGACAAGCAAAAAGATCTATTAACAAATGAGCACAATAATCTCTCTTGTTTTTTGGAATTTTTGCAGCTATCAATACTTCTTCAGACACAGGAAGAGCTGTAAAATAAAATTTATAGTTACATATAAGATGTGTTAATTTATAAATCGTTTTAAATTCTGTATGTCCTTTCTAAGCAAAAAAGAAAAGAAAATTATTACAACACCTAGCTGAGACCAGCTTGGTTCGCAAGGTTATGTCATTGATGGAGTATATATAATATGAACACAATGAAAGGAATAACAAAATTAATGGCAATATAAAAATGTGCCTTAATCAAATAGATCGTTCGTGTAATGGCAAGAAAATAAGTACAGAATGCTAACAAATACATATAGAATATAAGTAACGCAGTATCTAAAGTGTACTTGTTAAAGGTTATGCATAAAATACTTGCTCCTTTTTTCACGTTCACCGGAAAATCCAAAGTGAGAATCAAATTTCGGTACTCCATCAACATCTGGAAATGGACCAGGATAAGTAAGCTGTTGCAGCATATTACCCATTTTATTATTGTATTATAGAACTACAGCAGAAATAATAACAGAGCCGAAAGGCAAAAGTATTCCCTGCAAACGATACTGCCATCTGGTGACAATTCACTTACGTAACTTAATACAAAAAGCATATACATGCATACTTGCATGCATGTGAACATTAAACCACAGACGAGGTACACGATAGGCCTAACACCTAACGTATTTTTGTGTCCAACGTTCTGAAATACCGATCGTGTAAAAAATTAGAGGTTTCGTTTTGCCCACCATGATAAAAAGCCATAAGTTTAGGAATTACGTACAATCCAACCATCCAAGATTATTAAATTGCACGAAAAAATATTTACATATACTGGATTGCATGGGTAACATTTTACTACCTCTCGAAAGTAATAGAACACACACATCGAATAAATCACCCCCTAATGAAAAATTATGTTCTCATATTTTTCATTACAGTATAATGAGAATTCTTTGAATTTTTCGTTTTCAATAATATTTATTGTAAATTAGAATGTAATTGCTCGTATAAAAGCAGATTAAAATTGATGTATGTATGTATATAATAAATTTTTAATTGCTTTAATATTACCAATATACTAGAGAAACGTGTAAGATAAGGAAAGAAAGAGGGATAAACAAGGATAGCACGAGAGAAATGAGTTAGATAAGGAAACGAACAGTGGTAAATAAGAATACCAATAGTTGTGTGCTAGCAAGGAAAGGAAAAGGGTTACACAAAGCAGAAAAATTTCAAAGAGAAACTAGCTCCATCTCGTGTTTGGTGATCGGAACTACCACTTTTTAATAGGAACACAGAATATAAACAGAGGTATTAGACAAGGAACGCACTAGTGTGCGACAAGGATAGAGAGAGAACGTTTCCTATTGGTCCGCTGACCGCCATGCTTCACCTCCCACACCCTGTGTCAAGTCGGTCAGGGAAAAATCATTAATAACTCATTAATCAGGATAATTTTGTGAACTTTTAGGATTGAAAAATGTAGTGTGGGCCTTTAGCTACTTTCACATATAGTTTTTAATGCAATAGACCCTTTCAATAATTAGTTATTAATAATTTTAGTACGTGATGTCGGAAACGATACCGCATACCGTCAAGAATCTTTACGGTTTTTCAATAATTTCATAGCTTTCTACTAAATTCCCATACAGCTAACTATATGTACCCGAAAGGCAACACCTTTAGCTACATTCTCCTATAATTTTTATTAACATATTCGGCTTAGTTCAAGAGCAATTAAACATTAAAGGAGAGAGTCCCTATTCATCTTACCCGAATATAGTCGAATGTTACAAACAATTGTTAATATCTAATAAACCACATCACTTACGACTACAAAAATTATTGGAGAATATAAATAAAATTCTATTCTACATTCTTCATGCTCAAAAGTGCATAAATAATCATGCATTTCTAGTGAAATAACGAAAATGTGTTACAATTGAATGCGACGGATGTAATACTCTCCCAAAGAATGTTAAATAACTATCAAACCACAAGAGATATGTTAATAAAAATTATATGAGAATCTAGCTAAAGGAGTAATCTTTCATACTCATATAGTTAGTTGCATGAGAATTTAGTAAAAAGCTATGAAATTATTGAAAAACCGTAAAGGTAGTAACTCGTATTACACCTGTCACATTCAATCGTAACACATTTTCGTTATTTCAAGAGAAATGCGTGATTCATTATGCACTCCAGAATGGACTATTACTGTAATCTTATTCAATGCTAAATTGGTAACGTTTGGAGCGGCAACGAAACCCCGGACAAAAAGTCCCATAAGATATTAAACAGTCGATACCCTTTTTAATATACCAAGTACAGTAAATTCTCTACAAGAGTCAGTAAATTTGGATTCGACAAGTGACAGTATAGATGGTCCTACGCCTAGGTCTGCGTCATTGCTGCGCCCATGTCATCTCGCTCGCAGTCAGTCAAGAGTGTAACGATACACCAGTCGGTTTACTTTACGAGATTATACAGCTCGACAAATCGTAATAGAAAAATATAATTTTACTTTTTTTCATCTGGAATTTTTTTTAACATGTTGGTGAAATTTTTCTGATGAAAATGGTATCAAACACGATATAATTTGAACAACATTTACTTATTAACACGTTCACTGTCACGCCAGATTTACAGGTTGCTGTCAGGCGGCCACAAGAAAATACATTTTAAGCATAGGATTATAGTATTATGCTTTATAATTTTTTTTTTCAATTGAAAATAATGTCTAGCTAGCTATGACGTTCAAAATTTTTAGTTGACAACATTTATTTTATTTTAATTATTCTAAACATTTGAGGCACTCCAGTCACCGATGACCACCATGGCCATATCGAGGAAACAATCTAACGTTAAAACTTATTGAGTGATTCATTTAATATCATAATATATCGCTTTGGATGAATTACAAAAACAAATTGCTACAAAATTACATTAAATACCTGTACACATTATCCGTCGAATGTAGAGGGAGAGCCACCGTTTGGTTGCCAATTGTTTATCACATAGAGTCGGCCTACCTCCAAGTAAAAAAAAAAAAATGTAGGGTCGATTCCACAAGTGTCAGTAAAATGTAGGGTCGATTCGACAAGTGTCAGTAAAATGTAGGGTCGATAGCAGCAGAAAAGCTGCTAAACAATTAGAATTAAATGTAACGATAGAAATTATTGCAATAATGCGTAATGCAATTGAAAAATTGAAAGAATCAAAAGAAAAAACGCGAATTCGTATCTTTTTCGATTCTAGAATATAAGAAAATTTGAATAAAATACGCGACGAGAATTGGGGAGAAGCATAAGTTAAACGCGTAAAAATATTCAATAATAAACGAACTAGGGATGAAGCTATTATTTCAATACGCGATGCACTGACTCTAGTATTTACTAAAATTCAAAAATTCTCGCATAAATTCCGAAAATAGATTATTAATTACGGTAAACTACTGAGACGGTTTAATTAAGGGTGGGCATGGTGCTGCTTTAGTTTGAAATGATTTATAAACACATAATTAACAGAGGAAAAACCGTGAAACGGCAAAACGTCTACATTCTAATTGTTATAACATGTAAACAGAACTTTAAATTTAGTGTAAACAGAAAAAATATATAATACAATTTATTTCACGGTATTGCAACAAATAAACGTTGAATCAATATTTAATTCGTATAAAAACAATTATTTAACGTAATAATTTTACCTTCACTATGGCTATTTTTAATCTACGACCACAGGTCAACCTGATTTCTAATCCTTACGAACTTTAAATTCAGTCTAAACTGAGAAAATATATAATACAATTTATTTCACGGTATTGCAACAAACAAACGTTGAATAGATTCTTAATTCGTATAGAAACATTTATTTAAAATAATAATTTCACCTTCACTATGGCTATTTTAAATTTACGACCAAGGGTCAACCTGATTTTTAATCCTCCGAACTTGATTTCACAACGAGAAAGTAATAAGATCGTTGAAACGTACTTATTTGTCAAAGAAACTTGCAAAAATGTATAAATAATAATATGTAATGTTTTAACAAATTTTTGGAAGTATAAATTAATAATAAAATTGTGAAAATTAATAAATTATACGTTATTATAACATTAATAGAATTATGACTAAACCGAAGTTCGAAGTCGAGTATTTAAAGTCTGATATTACGTGCCTAGCGAGTGCCGGTAATTGTTAAAATTTGTTTAATAATTAGTAATAGAAATTCTAATTGATTCTAATGTATACAAGTGTTACAAGAAGGCTGAGTGTGTACAGGGTGGACATAGACTAGCTAGTAGCCCCCGACCACTCTATTCACATCTCAGAACCTTCAGGTCAAAATACGCCGCGAAGTGTCTAGGGCCCAGTATAAAGGGTAAATGATTTCGCGGGACATCGGCGGGTCCTTATATACCTGCGGTACCCTCTCCCCAAAGTCATTAGCAAAATCGTCGGTTAGGTCAGGCGGGAAATTTTCGCGGGAGATTTTCGCGGGAGATTTCCGATATCGTAACACGGTATAATTTATCAATTTTCACAATTTTATTAAAAATTTATACTTCCGACAATTTGTTATAACATTGCATATAACAATTTATACGTTTTTACAATATTCTTCAATGGAAACATAGGTTTTAGCGTTCTCGTTACTTACTCGTGGTTAAATTAATTTCGTAGGGATTAAAAATCAGGTTGACCTGTGGTCGTAGATTAAAAATAACCATAGTACAGCTAAATTTATCGTGTTAAATAATTCTTCTTACACGAATGAAAAATGTATTCAACGTTTGCTTGTTACAATACCATGAAATAAATTATTTGTGCAGTTCTGTGCATTTTCTGTGCAGTTCAACCTAATTTACTTAAATTTACATTGCGAGACAGTATACTGTAACAAGTAGTAACAAGCAAACGTTGAATAAATTCCTAATTCGTATTAAAAAAATTATTTAACACAATAATTTCAGCTTTATTATGATTATTCTTGATAAATGACCACAGGTCAACTTGATTTTTAATCGTTATAATCTTTAAATTCAGTGTGAATAGAGAAAATGTGTAATATAATTCATTTCACGATATTATAACAAACAAACGTTGAATACATTTTTGATTCGTAGGAAAAGAATTATTTAACACGATAATTTTAGCTGTACTATCACTATTTTTAATCTACGACCACAGGTCAACCTGATTTTTAATCCCTACGAAATTAATTTAACCACGAGTAAGTAACGAGAACGCTAAAACCTATGTTTCCATTGAAGAATATTGTAAAAACGTATAAATTGTTATATGCAATGTTATAACAAATTGTCGGAAGTATAAATTTATAACAAAATTGTGAAAATTGATAAATTATACCGTGTTACGATATCGGAAATCTCCCGCGAAAATCTCCCGCGAAAATTTCCCGCCTGACCTAACGGACGATTTTGCTAATGACTTTGGGGAGAGGGTACCGCAGGTATATAAGGACCCTCCGATGTCCCGCGAACTTATTCACCCTTTATACTGGGCCCTAGACACTTCGCGGCGTATTTTGACCTGAAGGTTCTG